CCCCCGGGCCCCTCCCGCCGGCCCCCGAGCTGGCCGAGTGGCGGCTGCGGGTGCAGCGGCAGCCGGCCTGCTTCCTGCAGCTCTGCCGGCACCTGCGCTGCGTGCCCAACATCTGGGCGCTGCACGAGTGGAGCAACTGGCTGACCCCCGTGGGCCGCGGCCGGCGCTACGACACCGCCTTCTACCTCTGCTGCCTCGGGCAAGGCCCGCCGCCCGCCTCCCACGACCAGGTGGAGGTCACCGCCTGCCAGGTGAGGAGGAGGAGGAGGAGGAGGCGCTAGGGGTGCCAGCCCCCAGGTGGGGCCTGGGGACCCCCGGAATCACAGCTCCTCTCCAGACTACAGAGATCAGTTCTCCTGGAGAAAATGGAGGCTTTTGGAGGGTGGACCCAGTCTAGGGCCTTGTACCCCACTGAGCTCCTTGCCCTCCCGAGCCTACCTCCCCAAATCAACAGGAGTTTCTCAACCTGGATTTGGCAGCCCATCCCCCGCTGGTGGCCAGGGGGGACCTAGCAACCAGTGTTCCCTCTAAGCTGAGTTAGTGTGAGCCAGCTCACAGTTTTTTAGCCTCTGGCTCACTCATTTTTGCCTCCGCTCAGGAAGGCGGGCTCCACAGCAAACTAATTTATGCAGGAGCCAAATCCCTCGCTCACACCTTTAATGCCAGCAGCTCACCAAGTAGGATTGTTGCTCACAAGACTCTACATCTTAGAGGGAACATTGCGTAGCAACCCTAGCAGATTCGGGGGGGGGGCCACAGAAAGGTGCCTTCTTCCCCCTCACCTCCCAACGACTGCACACTCTTCCCCTCGCCCCCCTCCTGGACTCCCTCCACCTTGTCTTATTAAAAGAATAAAACAAGAGTGTAGTGGCACCTGGCTACGAATGGACACAGTCTCTTCCTGCCCCAAACTTTCATGAAGTGAGGCTCTGACTCACAGAAGTTTATGTGGGAATAAATGGTGGTTGTCTGTATTAAGGCCCTCCCCCGTGCTTCTGTCTTTGTGGGGTAGGGCAGGAGATAAGTTTAATAAATATATGATGGTGCTTCAGACTAACTGGGCTGCCCAGTTCCTAGACGACCAAAGGAGAAGAACCCTCAAAAGGGGTGGAGAATGTGCACAAAGTTTGCATTTGCTTATTTACATCCCTAGATGCAAATCCATGCATAATGGCTGTAATAGAAATAGAAACGCAACTCCCCCGAGTGCTATGCTGGTGCTGTCTGGATGGGAAGCTTTTCGTAGCTCTCTAGAGATAGCTTCCTAGGTGCTCTGTGGCTGCTCAGGAGACCGGCCTCCTTAGCTGACTTGGTTGGACAGAAACACAGCCCAGAAATTTGGAGGACAAAATTCACCTGTCCTGCAAAACAGGACATTTCACCACTCCTGTCTTTTCTTGAGTCCTGCACCCAGGGGCAGATTAAGGCTCACTTGGTGCCCCCCTCCTTTCCACACTGACCCAGTCCATTTTAGTTGTTGACCTGTTGGCACAGATTAGGAGTCTCAATGCGTGGATGAGACAATGGTGTAGGGGGGAAGGGTTCAGGTTTGTTAGGCACTGGGATGCTTTTTGGAACAAGAGGGAGCTGTACAGGCGAGACGGTCTCCACTTGTCCCGAGAAGGAACCAGGCTGCTGGCACTTAAAATCAAAAAGGTGGCAGAGCAGCTTTTAAACTAAATATTGGGGGAAAGCCGACAGGAGATGAAAAGTCTCTGGTTCGGGTTGGCTCATCTGAGAGAGGTGAGGGGGTACCGGTTGCTTTTCTACAGGGAGGTGAATTGAAATTGTCCACAGAGGCCATGGCTGGTGACATGGACTGCCGGACAACGACTCGAGATAGCAAGAGGAAGGATGCAGGCTTAACTTGTAAGGGAAATTACAGCTGTTTCTATACAAATGCTAGAAGTGTCCGAGGTAAAATCGGGGAGTTGGAGTGCTTGGTGTCGGAGGGAAAAATAGACATTGTGGGTATTTCTGAAACTTGGTGGGATGAGGAAAATCAGTGGGACACAGTGATTCCCGGTTATATATTATATCGGAAGGATAGGGGGGGAAGGGTTGGAGGTGGGGTAGCTCTGTATGTCAGAGAGGGTATAAAGTCTAGAAAGATTGAGAGGCTAAGTGAATTGGATTCGCTTCTGGAAGTTCTATGGGTTGAAATAGGGGGGCCAAAAGGAAACTTAACACTGGGAGTTTGTTATCGCCCACCAGATCAAAAGATAGAGGAGGATTATAAAATGATGAATGCCTTAAAGATAGCAACTAGACAAAAACACTGTGTAATAATAGGTGATTTTAACTACCCACACATTGATTGGGTCAATATGTGTTCTAGCCGGGAAAAAGAGATTGAGTTTCTAGACACTCTAAATGACTGTGCTATGGAGCAGATGGTCACGGAACCTACCAGGGGAGAGGCGATCCTTGATTTGGTCCTAAGTAACACTCAAGACCTGGTGAGAGATGTAAAAGTGATTGCACCGCTTGGAAACAGTGATCATAATGTTGTTGAGTTCATCATTTGTACAAATAGAGAATTGGCCAAAAAGACTCACACAACCATTTTTAACTTTAAAAGGGGTAATTTCTCTGATATGAGGGGACACGTGGGGAGGAAACTGAAAGGAAAAGTAGAAAGGGTCAAAACAATTGGGGAAGCTTGGGATCTATTTAAAACTACGATCCTAGAAGCTCAAAAAATATATATTCCGCAGGTTAGGAAAGGCACAAACAGGTATAGGAAAAAGCCTGCATGGTTAACAAACAGAGTAATGGAGGCTGTAAAAAGTAAAAAGAATTCCTTTAAGCAGTGGAAAGCTAGTCACAGTGAGGCTGATAAAACGGAACACAGGCTATGGCAAATAAAATGCAAGTCTGAGGTCAGGCAGGCAAAAAGGGAATATGAGGAGCATATAGCAAAAAACGTAAAAACCAACAATAAAACTTTCTTCAAATACATTAGAAACAGGAAACCAGCCAGGGAGGCAGTGGGGCCCTTGGACGACCAAGGGGTAAAAGGAGTATTGAAGGATGATAGGGAAATGGCTGAGAAGCTAAATGCATTTTTTGCCTCCGTCTTCACTGTGGAAGATGAGAAGTGCTTGCCCACTCCAGAACCACTGATTTCAGGAGGGGTGTTGAAAGACCTGAGTCAGATTGAGGTGACGAGAGAGGAGGTCCTAAAACTGATAGACAACTTAAAAACTGAAAAATCACCAGGCCCAGATGGCATACATCCGAGAGTTCTGAAAGAACTCAAATGTGAACTTGTAGATCTCCTGACAAAGATATGTAATCTTTCCTTAAAATCTGCCTCCATTCCTGAGGATTGGAAGGTAGCTAATGTCACTCCCATCTTTAAAAAGGGTTCCAGAGGAGATCCGGGAAATTACAGGCCAGTCAGTCTGACGTCGATACCGGGTAAATTGGTGGAAACCATTATTAAGGAAAGAATTAGTAGGCACATAGATGAACAAAACCTATTGAGGCAGACTCAGCACGGTTTCTGTAAGGGAAGATCTTGTCTCACTAACCTGTTAGTGTTCTTTGAGGGGGTGAACAAACATGTGGACAAGGGGGATCCAATAGATATTATTTACCTTGACTTCCAGAAAGCTTTTGATAAAGTTCCTCATCAAAGGCTCCTAAGTAAGCTCAAAAATCATGGGATAGAAGGACAAGTCCTTTTATGGATCAAAAACTGGCTAGTTCATAGAAAACAGAGAGTGAGTGTAGGTGGGCAATTTTCTCAGTGGAGGGTGGTAAGCAGTGGGGTACCGCAGGGATCAGTACTTGGTCCACTGCTTTTTAACTTGTTCATTAATGATTTGGAGATGGGAGTAAGCAGTGAAGTGGCTAAATTTGCGGATGATACAAAGTTGTTCAGGGTGGTGAAAACCAGTGAGGATTGTGAGGCACTCCAAGGGGATCTGTCAAGGATGGGCGAGTGGGCGTCAACATGGCAAATGGGGTTCAATGTGGCCAAGTGCAAGGTGATGCACATTGGAGCCAAAAATCCTAAATATAAATACACATTGATGGGGTCTGAACTGGCAGAGACTGAGCAAGAGAGAGATCTTGGAGTTGTAGTGGATAACTCACTGAAAATGTCGAGACAGTGTGTGACTGCAATAAAGAAGGCCAATGCTATGCTGGGGATTATTAGGAAGGGTATTGAAAACAGATCAGCCAATATAATAATGCCCCTATATAAATCAATGGTGAGACCTCATTTGGAATACTGTGTGCAGTTCTGGGCACCACACCTTAAAAAGGATATTATAGCTTTGGAAAAAGTGCAGAAAAGGGCAACTCGAATGATAAAAGGGTTGGAACACTTTCCCTATGAGGAAAGGTTAAAGCGCTTAGGGCTCTTTAGCTTGGAGAAAAGACGACTGAGGGGTGACATGATCGAGGTTTATAAGATTATGCATGGGAAAGAGCAGGTAAAGAAAGAGGTACTTTTCTCCCTTTCTCACAATACAAGAACTCGTGGGCACTCCATGAAACTGCAGAGCGGTCGGGTTAGAACGGATAAAAGGAAGTACTTCTTCACCCAAAGAGTGATTAACACATGGAATTCACTGCCACAGGAAGTGGTGGGTGCTACAAGCATGGACGGCTTCAAAAGGGAATTAGATAAGCATATGGAGCAGAGGTCCATCAGTGGCTATTAGCCACAAGGTATAGCTAGGGGCTCTGGGGCAAGTGATGCTCTGTCTTCTTGGTGCTTGGGGGGGGGGTCAACAGTGGGAGGGCTTCTAATGTCCTGGCCCCACTGCTGGACCTCCTGATGGCACTGGTATTTCTGGCCACTGTGTGACACAGAGTGTTGGACTGGATGGGCCTTTGGCCTGATCCAACATTGGCGTCTCTTATGTTCTTATGACCTGTCTGACCAGATATACAATGCAGGTTGCAGCAATACAAAAATTTATTCATATGATAACACAATATACTGTACAAAGCCAAGCCAAGCTTGGGCTACATAAAGTTCTACAAAAATGCAATACAACATCTATTTTAATATTTCACAAGTTAGCCATTTTTTTTTTTTACAAGTCTTCATTCGTTTTTTTTCCCCACCCTTTCCCCAACTTTGTGGTGCCCCCTATGGCCCTGGTGCCCTAAGCACGTGCTTAGTCTGCTTAATGGTTAATCCGCCCTTGCCTGCACCCTGTTCCGCCCCTGCTCTGTACTGTTATCAGAACGTCCTGAAAAGTCATAAAAGAACACATGCCAAAAGTGTCTTGTGGTGACATTCTGCAAGAGTAGCCTGAGGCATGTCGAACTGAGGAAAAAAGCCCACTGAGTTCCATTGGTCTTACCCTACAGTCAGTTCCCCTTTCCCAGATTGTTGTCTTATGATACCACAAGCTTTCCTGGAATCGAACCTGCTTTGTCAGCTGGCACAGCAAATCTGTTTACCTTTAAGATGATGCAAGCTTCCCTTTTAAAATTGTTTTTCAGTGGTGCAGTTACATAATTTAAGACTTCGGTCTTCATAGTTTTGGAACAGGGCTTCAGATGGTAACGTATGCTTAAGATAGAAAGCTGCAAGCTACTTTGGAACACACTCTTCTGCTGAGCCCATGAGCCGGAGACTCAGACTTCCACCCCAAAGCACTGCTGGTGGTTTTGGTTGCACCAGACCAATACAGCTATCTCTCTGAAGTGTGTGTGTTCAAACATATTCTAGCCTTCCAAGTAGATGAAGTCCAAAACAATCTTGTTGCACTAAAAGAAGCTGGAGTCTAGTGGTAAGATTTTAAGTTTGGGATTAGAGCCCACTACCATGAAATTTTATGCTGGAATAAAACCTAGCTAGTCTTCAAGGTGACACTAGATTCCTGTCTATTTTTGCAACAGCAGACTAACACACCTGTTCCTGTGGTAGGTTGAACTAAGCACTGTCCTCCTTTTGGCCCTTGATATCTGAAATTTGGTGATAAAGAGCCTAGGATTGTGTCACCAAGTTTTTTAAAAAAATTCTTCTGGCAAAGTTCTTGCGCCTTTATTTGTACGCATGACTGGAGAAGACTGGAGTATACTGGTGTTGTGCTGGAAGACTGGAGAAGAGCTAATGTTGTCCCGATCTTCAAGAAGGGAAAAAAGGCAGACCCAGGAAATTACAGGCCTGTCAGTTTGACATCAATACCTGGGAAAATTCTAGAGCAGATTATTAAACGCTCTGTCTGTGAGCACCTTGAGCAGAATGAGTTAATTGGTAGTAGCCAGCATGGCTTTATCAAGAATAAGTCATGCCAGACCAACCTTATCTCCTTTTTTGACAGAGTTACTAAAATGGTTGACTCTGGCAATGCTGTGGATATATCTAGATTTCAGTAAAGCATTTGACAAAGTTTCTCATGATATCCTTGAAGATATTCAAGTGTGGGCTGGATGGTGCAACCGTTGGATGGATTTATGGTTGGTTGAAAAATCGTACTCAACGAGTGTTTGTAAATGGCTCTGCGTCTACGTGGAAGGAAGTCTCGAGTGCAGTACTGTGTCCAGTTTTGGGCACCACATTTTAGGAAGGATGTTGACAAGCTCAAGTGTGTCCAGAAGAGGGCAACCAGGATGGTGAGAGGGTTTGAATCCAAGTCTTATGAGGAAAGGCTGAAAGAGTTGGGTATGTTTAGCCTGGGAAAGAGAAGGCTTAGAGGGGACATGATTGTAGTCTTCAAGTATTTGAAGGGCTGTCATGTAGAAGATGGAGAAGATCTATTCTCTCTTGCTCCGGATTGCAAGACTAGATCTAATGGGTGGAAATTACAAGGGAGTTGTTATCAGCTAAATATCAGGAGAAACCTAACTGTAAGAGTGGTTGAGTAATGGAATAGTCTGCCTCGGGAGGTGGTGGATGCTCCTTCGCTGGACGTTTTCAAGCGGAGGCTGGACGACCATCTTTCGGGTATGTTGTAGGGCTATCTTTCGGCTATGCTCCTGCAGAGTGCAGGGGGTTGGACTAGATGACCTGCAAGGTCCCTTCCAACTCTAACATTCTATGATTCTATGACTGAAGAGGTACACGCTGTGATAGTGAAGAGCTGTGCTGACTGAATTTCAGCCTGTCATGAGGCAGTTAAAAGGCATTAGAATAATGTCAGATTAAAAAAAAAACAAAGTAGACAGCCTTATATACACTGCATTCACCTATCATGGGAGAAGAGACCTAGATCCTTGAATTCCTTAACCTTTTTCAAATAGCACCTGGGAGGCAAACAGACTTCCTGTGACAGAACTAGCGTTTGTGGGTATGTACTTCCTTTGTCAAATGTGTGAAGTGTTGTGTAGTCCGCTGAAGCCATAAGAAACCTGTTAGTCTTCACGGTGTCACAAGATACCTTGTTTTACTATCACGGACTGACATGACTGCACCTCTGGAATTTGTCACCAGGAAGTGAGGAAGCTTTCAAGTTCACCCAGACTTTTTCAGGCTGGATGTTGGGGCCCGCTGATGTGTTTCATAGTGCCTGTTTTTCTTGCTGTACCTCTTCCAGATCCCTTCTATGCTCCTCCCAGTGCAGGGAGAGGGGGGAGCTCCTGCCACCTTCTAGGAATTCTAGGCAGCAGCCACCACTTGAAGAATAGCAAGTGCCTGAGCTCATAGCTTGGCTCTCTTGGTCTTCACTAGGAAGGCATGTTTGCTTGAAACTGCTTTGTCACTACAACAGCTCCACCGCCTGTCCAGATCCAAGACTATCACAAAGGATGGGTTTACAAAAGACTGCAGTGGTACAGTCCTCATGGGACCTGATAGCTATTGCAACTTCCGGACATTGCTTTTACCAGGTTGGCACCCAGCTTGGCACAACTGCTCCCCACTTGGTCTTCTAGCTCAGCATTGTCTGCTCTGACTGGAAGCAGCTCTCTGGGCCCCACCACCATCATCCATTCACCTCAGACCTGAATGGGAAATTCCAGTACTTCAGCTATCTGCACATGTTATCCCTATTTGTTTATGCATGGCTACATTTTTTTTATCATGGCCTTCCAATATGCTCAGGGCAGGGCATGGTTCTCTCCTCTATTTTATCTACACAATAGCCCTGTGAAGTAGGTTAAGCTGAAAGAGAATGGCTGGCCTAGGGTCAGATCACATAGGTTTCCTAAGTACCATGGAGGCTTTTCCGCTTCTTTTCAAGTTGCAGCTGAAAACGCAGACCACCCCTTACATGTTTGAGTTGTGGCAGAAAAGAGGTTATGTTGTTACTGCAGTACTACTGGCTAATGATAGAAAATCCAAAATGGTCCGGTGATTGGGAAGTTATAAAACGATGATGATCAGCTTGTTCTTCCTTTTTTTCCAGTGGACAGAGCCCCCAGAAGCTATTGAACTCGTTAAGTCTCAAGACATCTGGATACCACCTCCTCAGTTTTATGAATTATGCAGACTCTGCAACTTCCCATCACTTCATGATCTGCATAGGTTTGGCTTTGAACGAGCCGCAGAGGGATGTGAACGGTGGATGTGTGTTCTGTTGACTGCGTCTGATGGCTACATGCAGCTATTACCAGGTAGATGAAAACGGGGTTTGGGTCAGCCGTTCATGTAGTGGTGGCATATTTGCAGTCTTTGGAATAGTCACCGCCAAGTTCCATTGAATATTATTAGAATATGATTTGCAACCGATTCCCATGATGTGTTTTGTAACTTCCTAGTGAGGGATATATATTTCAAATTGCCTAGCATGGGTCATTGTTACAGTCTCTGTGTAGATATGCTGGTGACCTCTGGCTGGCTTCTGAGTTGAATTGGCTTTCTATGAAATACTTGCTGAGACAAAGTGGTGGTTGTTCCTTCTTAAAGGGAACTGAAAATATTTAATTGTTGGTCTGCCCCAATTCTGAAACCAATGGGGGGCTCCTTGTAGTTAGTCGTGTTAAAATGTTGACGTCAGTATAAGGATTTCTATGAACTTGAGTATTTCCGTTCTGTTTTTTTCTTTTTTTGCCATGGGGTGGGAAGCAAGATGTTATCAACAGAGTTGCCTGGCTGAAGGCAGTTGATTGAAACTATAATTTTTAATTCTGCGTTATAGCAGGAGAGCAGGCAGCTGCAGCTTCTGCCCATTTCTACATCCCTCATCACCCTAATTTTGCTTATGCTTATAGCAACTGGGCTGCAGGTATCTCACACAGCAGGGAGATCAGCAAGATAAAATGTCCAGGACGGGTCATAGCAGAAATAGGGTGGGAGAAGTTGTGCTTCATCAAAGAATATAATTATACAGTGTCAGTCCCCAGGTTGCAGCTAAGGTTGCCAACTGCAACTTGGGAAATTCCTGGAGATCTTGGGGTGGACCCTAGGGAAGGTGGAGTAGGGGGGTGAGGGGAGCTCAGTTTGGATGTAGTGCAATAGAGTCCACCCTCCAAAGCTGACATTTCTCCGAGAGGAACTGATCTCTGGAGGGTGGAAACTATTGTTGCAACTGATCACTAAAATAAGTAACTGTGCTTGTTCTCCATTTGGGGTTCTGCAGCATGTCATGAATTACCATGCACTTCATTTAACTGGGATTCATTTTTCTTTATGTAGTTCTATTGCTTTTAGTAATGTCAGCCATGGGTAAAGCTAAGCAACAGTAAGTGCACTTTGAAGGTTGCTCCTGATTTTTCCCATCTTTAATTCAGTGTTGTAAGCTTTGACAGAGAGATAGGATAATGCCCAGTGTACTGCAGTCCTAGAATCTAGAATTCAAATCCGAGTGTGATTCCCCACTCTTCCATTTACACCTGGCTGGATGGCCTTGGGCAAACCGTAGCTCTGATAAGAGCTGTTCTTGAAAAAGAGCAGTTTCTGTCAAGAGCTCTCTGAGCCCCGCCTACCTCACAGGGTGTCTGTTGTGGGGAGGGGAAGGGAAAGGAGTTTGTTAGCTGCTCTGAGACATCTTTGGGTAGTGAAGGGTGGGGTATAAATCCAATCTCTTCTTCATCATCATCTTATGTAGGGAGAGTGGAGGCCTCTATAACAGATACTGTCTTAAACTCAGTTTTGGTTAACAAGCTAACACTAGTATTTGATATCAAAATAGCTAAAAGGTGCTAGATGTACTTAAAAGGTAGATCTCTGAAATATAAAATATTATATATAATTTAAAACGAATACATTATATTTTATAGGCGATGAACTATATCCTGAAGATCCGGATTTTACGGGAGAAAGAAAACCAGCATTATCAACAAATAAAAAGATTGAAGATGTCTTGAAAGAAGCCACTAGGCTTCACCGGATAGTAATACGAGACCTTAATAATGTTACAGTTCATGTTAATATCCCGCCCAAATATAAACATATCAATCCACTGCCACTGAACTCTAAAATGGGAAACACTTCAAATTGCGGTAGCAGATTATAGCATTATTTTTGCCATTGACGTTTCCAAAAGGGTTTACATATTCTTTATTTTAAAGTGGCACATATGAGAGATACCAAATAGGCTTTCCCAGTGGGGTTCAGATCTTGCCAGAGAACGTATGTTTTGGGAATAGCAATAATTAAAATGTTCTTGTGCCACTTTATATACCTCAGGTCTGATATCACTGATATAAGGCTTCAGTCTGAGTAATTATTTCTCTATGAATTTCTTTGCAAATGTGCCAATTCTGCAGTAGAGACATCTGTCTACTAAGTACTTGACCTTAATTTACACGTTTATGAATTTGGGACATTGACAAGCCTGTTGGACGGTATTAGACCATGACCGACTTTGGCCATTTGTCAATTCCTGGTTGAGCCGAAGTCCCTCACTATCAATGTAGCTCAGCATCTTGGAACAATTCCATTTTTTTCCTTAAAAAGGTAGGCTCACTGTTTTTTAAATAGAAACCCCACCGAATTGCCTCTAAATAACTGTGTTTAAGATTGTAGATATATGCTACAATCTTGTAAGCACAACTGATTTTTATTAATTATACTCAGTTCAGAAGTTGTACTTCTGGAACATATTTAATTGGTGCATTAACACGCTAGTGCTGCCAACACTTCATTGGATAAATTCAGTTGTGTGATGGGGCTTTCAGTTTGGAATGTTAACCGTGCATTTAAGCTACCTGTTTTGCTAACTATTTATTTGTCTTAAAAATAAATATTTTCAGCAAACTTGTTTGGTTTCATTGGTGCTAGTAATCTTTTCAGACTAAGAATGCCTTTCAAATTATTTATTTAGATACATACTCCACGTCTGCCCCACCTCTCTCCATTAGAGATCCTAAGCAGCTGACATAATTCTCCCCTCCTCCATTTTATCCTCACAAAACCCCTGTGAGGTAGGTTAGGCTGAGAGAGTGACTGGCCCAAGGCCACCCAACAAGCTTTCGTGGCAGAGTAGGGATTTGAACCTGGGTCTCCCAGATCCTGGCCTGACACTCTATCCTGCATTCCACACTGGTATGGTGGATCAGTCTCCTCACACTCAGTGATGAGAGTGGAGAAACTTTTCTGCACACCCTTACACCAAGGGTGTAATACACCAATATTTGTATTGCTTTTACACAAATGATGCCCATTTTATTGACTAGCATTCCAATAAAATCATAGAAGATATATTTTCTCCTCTCTGTAATAAAAATAAAATTTCTTACGATCTCTTTATCAGAGTAAGCAAATTGAAATGGAAAAGGGAGTGGCTGAAGAAGAAAAGATAAAGCCAGAGGAGGGGCCAAATGTAAGGGGTGTGGTTAGAGCAAAAAGAGCGTGCCAAAGGGGGCCCAGGTATACTCTATTGCCTAGGACTCACACAACCCTAGCACCAGCTCTGCCTAGTATTTAGTACTATGTGGACTTTGCTTTGCTTTCTTCCTGTATCCCTAGCTATGGATTTGAAGTGAAGAAAAGACTAGAGATACTTGTGATATGAGAAAGAATTTATTTTTAAAATTATACTTCACAGGATTGCATTTTAGGGATTGGAAGAAGTTATAGGAATATGCTTTATTTCTGTTGTGCAGAGGGTTCAGAAGATCACACAGTAATTGCATACAACATTGCGCCAGTCTAAGAGCATTGAAATCAATGTGTAATTGTTGGAGTAACTCTGAGGAAGGGAGCTTTAACTCTCAACACTGTATAACCTGGAAATCTTGTTGGTCCTTAAGATGCTACTGATAGTGCACTTGAATCTTGCTATTCTGCAGACCAACAAGGCTACCCACCTGTAACTATCTGCATAGGAATGACTGTTATTTAACCAGGTCAATGTTCAAATGTTGCAATGGGGTTCAGAATATAAAGTGCCTTTTTAGGGAACACAGTAGACTGCTTTAATGTAAAACAATGACAAAAAAATGCACTATTTCTTGAGTGACTATTGTAGCAGGTGTACTGATGGTCAGCAATATTTCAGACCATGCTGTTGTCAAGATCAGTAAATGATAATACTCTAAAAACAGGCATATAATTGATTTTTTTCCAAGATCAGTAGGCAGTTTTATGCTTTAAAACAAATGGACTTTTATTAAAAATCTTATTTTCTTAAATCTGATTCAGTGGGAGTATATTTCACTTTGTTTAATCAAGAAAGGATTCTTGGTTGGGTTTTAAAAATTTTATTTCTCAGTATGCTGTTCCAAGATCAGTTCATTTTTAAATGGGGAGCCTGGATCTAGTCCAGTGATGAGGGCTATCATCCACAAATGATTATTTCAGGTGGAATCTGATAGTCTTTAAGGGCATAAAACAATTGTTTTAACCCTCTTCCAGTGACGCCCTTCTCCCATGACTGGGTTCTGAAAAACTTTTGGGACTTGCGTGAAATCAACCTGAGGTGTGCCGGTTTCAATGCCCTTCGCATTTTCTGATCAGATTTGAATTGCAATGTCTAGTCCTGCACTTCGTGGCCCCTTGAATCCTACGTTATATGACTACACAGCGAAGTCCCACTCACGTCATGTGAAGAAGCGAGCTCTAAGCAAGTCAAAAATTTAAACTGCGACAAAACGTTATTCTTTATTCTGCCACAGAACCACCGTTCAACTCAATAGCCTCCCCAACCCGGTCCGCATTCGTCCGTTTAAACTTAACGCATGCTCGGTAAAGGCAATCTCGACCCCCTGGAACAAACCAGAGGATACGGTTTACACAGAGATAGGAGCCTCGCTGTGGCTCAAGTGGTTAAGACGCTGAACTGCAGGCTGTGGAAGGTCGGTAGTTCAGCAGTTCGCGACCCGAGTGTGCCGCATGACGGAGTGAGCTCCCATCTCTAGTTCCAGCTCCTGCCAACCTAGCAGTTCGAAAGCAAGAAATTGCAAGTGGGAAGGTAACAGCGTTCCGTGCGCCTTGGTCATGCCGGCCACATGACCACGGAAACGTCTTCGGACAGCGCTGGCTCTTCGACTTTGAAACGGAGATGAGCACCGTAACCCTAGAGTCGGATTCGACTGGCTTTCGAGCAAGGGAACCTTTACCTTTTTAGGAGCCTCGTGACGAGGGCTTCAGTGGCTTTAAAAAAGCACTCTCGCTGCGCAGGCGTTAAACCTTTGGAGGGGGAAGAAAACGAATTTCATTTTACACCGGAAGTGTTGAGTCGTCCTAGGGTTCCCCCCCTCCCAATCTCTATGGGGAAGTGTCTCTTCGCGCTGGAAAGGCACTGAGCATGCGCGAGAGAAAGCGCCGTGGGTAGCGTGTGGCGCGCGAGGAAAGGGTGAGGAGGCGTCGGTCGCGGTAGGGGAGGGAATGGCCGTTGGTGGGTGGGAGAAACCGTCATTTGGAGTAGGTGAGGGGTGTGTCCCCTCCCCCACATATAGAGGATAGGAAATTCTGGCCCTGCTGCATTATAAAAGAAAAGTTCAGCGGTCCCTTGAAGCGTGAGCTTTCCTATGGCAGCTCCCTCAGACGTGAGCCCGTGTTGGAATAAATGTTGGTAGTCTTTAAAGGTGTCGGTTTGGGTTGCCAACTTCTAGGTAGAACCTGGAGATCTCACAGCGCTGTAGGTAGGTGATTTTCAAAGGGGGGCACTGGATGGAGGGGGGGGGAGATAAATGGAGGCGCGCGCAACGG